AGGAACATGATATTTATTCAGTAATGTTAACTTTTGTCCGAATGTGATGTTAGATCTCAATGCTTCCTTTTCCAGTAACATCTACCGCAACATGGTTTCCCATCAAGACTTGCTCAAAATTCTGTACTTCCGCGTATGTCTTGAACATCTTCTTGTCATAATAGACATGAATAGTAGCATCCGAATCTAGCCACCAGTCTTGAGTATTTGTAGCAGCGGTAGCCATATTCAATGTGGTGACCATACCAATTTGCATTACGGAAACCATGGCAACTAGTCCTTGGGCAGAATTTTCCACTACGTTTGCCTTTTCAAAATTTCCAGATTTTTCAATCTTTCTAGACTTTTCGGTATTGCCTGCATTGAAATTTATTCCTGCCTTTCTATATATACAATCCCGAATCATATGGCCTTTCTTTCCACAGTGATGACAACTAATGTTCTTTCTCTTTTTAAAAGAAGACTTTTTGGAAACTTTTAGATTTTTGTTCCCACTTCCTGAACCATTCTGACTGACAAAATTGACTACGAAACTCAAGGGCTGACTAATATAATCACGAGTACGAGTCTCACTCTCAATTTAAATGTGACTACAAAATTATTCCACAGTCATTTTATCCGTTGAATGCAGGATTTTCTTTCTATAGTCATTCTAGGAGGAAGGCAATTTCGAAAGAATAGCACCTATTTGTAGTGCATTAGGAATTTTAACTTCAAGATTACTTAGTTTTGATACTAAGATTTATAGTTCATGAATCTGATCCATTATAGGCCTAGTATCAAATATTTTAAATTCAAAGCACTGCAGGGCTAGGAATTGGTCGATACCTCATTTTTCATTCTAGTACGCAGTTAGTAGAGCAGTCCAAATCTCCCTTGGTGACTTCAGATTGCAGTAGAGATCATAGAGTCGATTTGTCAAGGTATTCAGAATATGACCTCGACACAACAGTTCATCATGTTCTCATTTCTTCCTTTCTTCCTTGACTACATCAGAATCTTCTGCTCTTGGTTTAGGCATTCGCAGGCAAGGCAGAATCAAGAACATAGTACATATTGAGAGCAGACAGCAAGAAAATCATCTTGTCTCTCTAGCGTGTAAAGTTCGTTCCATCAAAGAGATCAAGTTTGATGAACTCCTTCGGATTCTCAACAACAGACATCAATTTCTCCATTGCAGAATAACTCTTTAAGATTGTTAGAAAATAATAAACCAAATTTGGCTTTGAGGCATGAAAATCGACTATCCTTAAAGATTTATCTCCTGCATACTAATTTAAGGAAATACAAAACGATTCTCTTCAAGATACAACAAATCCTGCAATAATACTTGTGATTTTCTATACCACTTCATTGAAAATTCTTATGTATTCTTGGCTAAGGTAGAGTTTTTCTTTCACAAACTTCAAGATCTTCAAGACCATATTATGCAGGGGATTAGTGTGCCTTTATCGTCATAAAAGGCTGATTTAGGATTTTCAATATGTAGGTTGTGCATTCTAAACAAGGCAACTTTGCCAAACTTGTATGCAGAATTGTAGCTTCGCCCCTGACTAATATAGTTAGCTCCCCAAGTATCACATGAAAGCGTACATATGAAAGAAATTAGTACGATGGTTGTTGGCCCAAATAAAGGTAAAGTTTTGAAGACTGACAAAGGAACTCAGACATGGACCAGGTCCATCTTGGGAAGCACAGTTATAATCAACTCAAACATGTGAGATGCACGTGAAGGAGATAAACCTTACTTATCAGAAGTAATATCTCCTTATCAAGACCGCAAAGGTTGCATATTGGATAAGGAGAAAGACTCCTTACACAAAGAGAAATACAGCTTAAGAAATGGATAGAATTAGAGGATGACACCAACTAGAACTCTTCCACCAAGGAAGACTAACATCTGTTTTCTAGTCAATCTCTTTTTACTAACTCCATCAATATCAGTGTTGTTCTCTTTTACAGGTAACGCACATAAGCAGAAGTTAAACGTGAATTGAGAGCAAAATAGCAAGGCAATTTTGCAAGCAATTCGTGTGTGATTCAAGCGTGTAAACCTGAAGCTACTTGAACCATATACAAGAACCAGTTCCAAGTATCTATCTTTTAGTCTAGTTCAATTGTAGTGGGTGATTTTACATTGTACCTTTCAGCTTATCTAGAAGCAATTGTATTAGGTACTTAGAGTTATCAAGTTAGAGTTAACTTGAAGTTGTCGCAACAGTTGAGGTTGTGTGCCACAACGGGATTAGAGTTAATCCTAGGTTTACAAAAGAGTTTTTGTAAATGCAGTTTTTGGCCTAGTGATTTTAGTGGAGAGTTTGGGAAAATCCTACTAGAAGGTAGGTTGTGGTTTTTTAACCTTTCGAGCCAGGTGTTTTCCACATAAAAATCTATGTGTTCTTTAATTTCTGTATTTATTATTCTGCAACAGTAGTAGTTGGAACACATAGAAGAACCAGGTTCTTCTATAATCAAGTTAAGCGAAAATTGGGCACCACACAAGTCCCCCCCCCCCTCTTGTGTGGTATTGAAGTATAAACATCAATTGGTATCATAGCGGGCTATCCTTGAAGAGGTTAATACCTTAGGAACAGATCAAGATGAGTGCACCACCTGGAAACTGGGAAGGATAATCCACTGCTAGGCCTCCACTCTTTAATGGCCAGTACTATTCCTGGTGGAAGAACAGGATGAGAGACCACATCATAGGAGAAGACTATGAACTTTGGGACATTGTTATTGATGGTCCCCTAGCTACTACAAAGAAGAATGCTGAAGGAGAGGAAGTGCCAAAAACTAGAGCCGACTGTACTACTGAAGATTTGAAAAAGTGGGAAAAGAATGCCAAGGCCAAGAAATAGCTTGTGTATGGACTAGGCCCAGACGAGTACAGCAGAATTCAAAGTTGCACTACTGCTAAGGAGATCTGAGACATTCTACAAGTGGCCAATGAAGGAACTCCTCAAGTAAAGAGATCAAGAGGAACACTGCTGTATTCTCAATATGAGAATTTCACCATGAAGAAAGGAGAAACCATCCAAAAAATATACACAAGGTTCACAACACTAACAAATGAACTTAAGTCTCTTGGAAGAATTATCCTTGAAGAAGACAAGGTTGACAAAATTCTGAAAAGGGTCTTGCCAGTAACTTCAGAAAGCAAAATCACTGTTATTCAGGAATCAAAGAACCTTGCTACTCTCAAGTTGGATGAGCTGATTGGAAAACTCACTGCCTATGAACTGAGAAGGCAAACCATGAAGATGGATACACCCAAAAAGGAAAGATGTCTGGCTCTCAGAATAGCTGAAGGTGCAGACTTAGAGGACGATGAAATGGCTATGATCACAAGGGATTTCAAGAAGTAGCTAATGAGAGGAAAGGGTTCTTCAAGAGGTGCAACCTTCAACAAACCAAGGGCCCCTAAAAAATAGACCAACAAGGGCTGCTACAATGTGGCAAGACTGACCACATGATCAAGAATTGTCCTCGGTGGGAAATTGAATGGAAGAAAGAAAGGATTGAACGAAGAAACAGAAAGAAGGAACAGGTTCAACCCAAGAAGAGAAAAGGGTCAACAAAGGCTATGGTTGCTGCTTGGGGAGAAAGCTCAGAGGAGGATTCAGAAGATGAAGCTGGAGATGAACAAACACTTATGGCCATTGGAAAATCAGATGTTTTTACCGCGTAATTGATTGAAGCTTATTTGGTATCATCATTTTATTTGACTAATTGTCATATTTGGGCTTCGTGCCAGTTATTTGAACCCTTCGGGGATTGCTATCACTGTTTTCTCACTATTTTGACATATTACTGGAACTCAGTCCTATTGTTTAATACTGTTTTACAAACTCAGCCACTTTTACTCAGATTTGAAACTTAAATAAAATTTCTAATGACGTTTTGGGCTGAGAACTACTATTTTTATTATGGCCCGAGGGGCTTATGTGATTTCTGGACTGAGTATGGATCGGGCTGCGCGCCGCAGCAGTATTATATTAATTTTGATACCAGGCCGAGGGCCGAGCTGGTTCCACGAGATGGCTTGATATTGCGGTTGGGCCGTAAGGGGCCCCTCCCGGAGTTTGCACACCCCCAGTGAGCGCCGTCGACGATAAATAAATGGATCGGGCTGCACACCGCAGCGGGTAATAGAGAGTACCATACTATGTGCTGCATTCCTTTATTTGGCTATCATTTATTTGCTTATCTGTTGTAGCATTTCCATGTTTCTACTTCACTGGTTTATTGATTTTATATTACTTGTTTTAAACTGCCACATTATAGATTACTCTGTGCTTCTTCAAGATTTCTTATTGTCAGTCATTATTTATGCTTATTACTCACTGGGTCGGAGTACTCACATTACTCCCTGCACCTTGCGTGCAGATTCAGGTGTTCCCGAGGCATAGTGGGAGTTTTCTTTCTGATTATCATCCACCGGAGTCATCGAGGTAGCTGCATGGCGTCCGCAGACCCGATTTCTCCCTCTATCTTTTACTTTCAGTATTCTAGACTATCTCTGTATTAGGCTGTTGAAATCTTGTGATAAAGGCTCTTGACTTGTGACACCGGAGCGGTGGGGGCTATTGTAGAGATATTGTTATGTTTTCCGCACACCTTATTTACTGCTTCAGACTCCTATTTATGTTAATCGATATTTAAAACCCTGTTAATTTGAAATAAACTCTATAAGCGAAGGGTTGTGATTGATAATTGGTCGGGCTTGCCTAGCAGTATGTGTGTCATCACGATCGGGGTTGGGGTCATGACAAGAATGTCCTGGAGTTTAGAGGGGGGAAAAAAGAAGACGAATTTTTAAAATTTATTGGCTAAAATAAGTCATGAAAATTACTATGGCTTTAAATTATTTCGCAAGGATAAAATAAAAAGTTTATTAATAATTGTTATCATAAAAATAAATAAAAGAGAAGAGTATCAAATAAATTGGGACAGAGAGTAGTTACCATGTTAGAAATAAAGAAAAAAACTGGACGAGATTGAGGATAACACACATAAATACATTCTGGTACTTGTTATAGCTAAATTTCAGACTTGGAACAATCCATAATATCTTGCATAATTGACAATTACAAGATACATCCATACAATACAATTATTATTTATTTCACATGCTAAGACTAGCGAATAGTGTTGAACATTCAACACATAAACGCATTTAAAGATATCATATATTATTTATTTCCCATGCTAAGACTAGCCAATATTGTTGAATATTCACCACATATAACACATTTAATAAAGAGATCTTCTATTACTTGAGAAGGGGAGCCTCTGTATCTTTAGTAGTCACATGAAGGTGAGCCTCTAAATCTTTAGTCACATCAAGCATAAAACCCAAGAGATTGAGAGGTTCCGGAGTGTCTTCGATTTTCTTCTCGTACACAAATGTCCATGTAGCCCAATCGTTTTCAAAGGATGCAGTTATAGTAAAAGAATTGTACAATTCCAAGGTATCTCCTTCTAAAACTTTCCAAGTGATTGATTTTTTCTCATCATCAATGGCTTCAATCAGCTGCTTAGTAACCCTAACTTTTCCATCTAGAATTATTAAAAATAGTTGCCATAATACATGAGATGTTAGTCGTAACTCAAGTGTCCAATTTCTCATAAAACATATAAACATTTACAAAATAATAATCCTCTATCCCCTATTTTGTGAGTGTGTTTGACTAAATCTTTAGGTTAAAAATAAAGAACAACTTTTTTCTAGTTTAAGATACGTAGTAAATACTTCAATTGGTATAAAATCATGATATTAAAGATAAAATGAGAAATTCAGAGTTAAATTATCTTTATATATATAAATATATTATCTTTTCGAAATAAACTATAAAAAAATTGTGTCACATCAAAACGAAATAGAAGAAGTGTATGTATTTAGATTATTTCTTTTGTTTTTATTCCATTTTCATTGTCCTTTCTCCGAAATTATGTGAAGCTTGCAAATATTGGACTTTATTTTATCTTATCTTTAAAAATTTCGAGACAAATTAAGTAAATCATGAATAGAAATAAATAAGTTGACAAAAGAGGAATATACTAAAACATATACAAAAAAGTAAAGTGGTTCAGTCAAATGACATGCACCCACGCTATATTCACCCTTTATTAAACTCTCCTTTTAGAAAAAGAAAAGACAATATTATCATAAATGTGCTGCCTTTTCTTCAACCAAATGTAAAACTCAAACAATAAAAAATCAGGACAAACATAAAAGAAGAGAAAAGAAAGTTAATTAATGTAGAAAATTGATGAAGTGAATTTTAGAGAAAGAAAGAGGGAAAGTTTGCGTTGTCTTACCGTGGTTAAATTTCCATCCAATTATTGAACCAGCCTTTAGACTTTCACCTTCATGAATACAAAAATGGTGAATCTTATCAGGGCTTATGTTAGATATATGATGGCAACTGGTTTGGTAAAGGTCATGAAACAAGTGTCCTCCACATTTCACCTCTGTTGAAACAATCAATTTGCCTTTCAAACCCATATTTTCTTCTTTGGAATAGCAAATAAATTGTAAAGAGGAAGCTAGTGGTAGGAATTAAAATATTCATAAGTTGTAACCTTTATATAGTACAAAAGCAAGAGGAAAATGACATAACTGAGCCCTCGTGTAGAACCTCAGGGAGATATCAAATTGTATGTGATGAAAGAAAAGTTCCTTCACATTTTCAAAGGAAATAATGTAAATTTTTTATAACAAATGAAGGTCATTTAAAATTGCTAAACCAACGAACAAAAAGATAGGAAATATACGAAAGAACAAGGGTTAGTGGGCCTTGAAGTATCCGATTGGTGTGGGCCGTGTGGCTACATTTGGAGCAATTTTTGCAAAATATTCATTGAGCTTAAAATACTTACCCTTCTTTACTTATTTGAAAACTATTTATAATACATACCTACCCAGTTAAACTAATTACCTAACTTACCTACCCACCCATCCATCCCAACTTTTTTTACCATTCGGTTTAGCTTAACTTGATTTGGCTTGGCTTGGCTTGGTTTGATTCAGCTGGCTTGAATTGGCTTGGCTTGACTTGATTTGGCTTGGCTTGGCTTGAATTGACAATTTAGTAACTTAGTCATTGGCTGGGTTATAAAAAATTGGTAAGGTAAAAAGGTATAGGTAGGGGCGGATAATTATTTTCCATGGGGAGGGTATTTGCTAAACTTCCCCGTACATTTGCCCTAGCCATTTAAAAGAAAGGCTCCCTTCATCAAGAACACACAAAAAATTGCGCGCGTGTCCCCTCAGAGGGATTGGTCTTGGCGAAATATTTCTGTTTTTAACGGTTCTAGCAAAATATTTCTTATTTTTTACTTGAACACCTTGTTCTTCAACTTTTAAAGCTTAAAATTCTTATTTGGTGGTGGGAAATAGAAATTAATGATGATCATTTTTAAAATCATTTGAATGTTGATAGTTTGTGCTTAAATTTTTAGTTCAGATACAATTTTTGGTGATTTACTGTAAAAGTTTTAAAACTCCACTATTGAACCTTAGAAAGTGTTGAAGAAGATAACTTGGTCTTATTGATTTAGTGTTATTTGATTAAATTGGTGATTGAGCATTGATTGTGTTGATAATTGAAAGATTTGGTTCAAATTTGAGATCATTTGAAGCAGATTCGGGGTGGTTTGATCGAAGCTGAAATTAGAAATTCAAAGAATATTTTGTTAAAATAACCCCAGAAAAGTATGTCAATCGGGTAGCTTCAATGAATAACTTAACAGATAGGTAGAGAAAATATAGCATCAACTCTAACAACCCGGTAGAGAAATTCCTAAAGAGCAAAAGTATAACAATGTAGTAGACTTCGATAAACAATTTAACAGATAGGTAAAGTAATAATAACATTAGCTCTATCGATCAGGTAGAGAAATTCTAAAGAACAAAAATATGCCAATCGGGTAGAAATTGATGAACAATTTAATACGATAAAAAAATTCCTTAAGAGTTGTGTGTGGGTCCGATTTTGTTTTTTAAATACCACTATTTTGGGGACATTCAACTAAGACCAACCCTAAAATATTCCTTTTGTGTCAATCTCCCAAGAAAACAAAAGGAGTTTTTAGGCAAAAATGTTTCAAAGAAAGACTTGGAAAATGACGATGCTTCTATCCAACACTTTTATTACTCTATATGTCATCATGTGGTATTGTTCGAATTTCAAGAGTTAAACTTCTTAATTTTGATCGTAAATTTGAATATTATTAAAATCTTTAAAAAAATTTGAAAAAAGAATTACATATTTGGAAACTACTTTAAGTAATATAAGTAATAGTTATGAACAATTTAAAATATTTAAAAGACATATAAAAAAGTAACGGTAAAAATAAACTTGTTTAACTTTTGAAATCCGAACGCTGCTACATAAATTTGTATGGAGGGGTTCATAAAAGGCCTAAGGCAAGAAATGATTTAAAAAGAAATTTTTACCTCCTATAGCAAAGGTTAACACCTTATTTATTTTAAATAAATACCATTTAAAAAAATTATATTCTATAGATACCTTTTAAGGTTTATAGCAAAATATTTAATTTTGGTTACCTCCTAGCCCTAAGCCACTAAATAAGCTAATCAGTTACACTATTTTCTTTCTCTCTCTACTTTGATACTTCCCATTCTCTTCCCCCATCCCATTAAAATTTTCCATCTTCTCCTCCTTCCACCAGATTTGTGCAAAGCCCACTTTAGAAATTGCTCCGGCTCCTGCATCCGGTTGAGAGAAACCCAGTTCAAAACCTCTTTGTCTAAAGTTTCTGATCCTAAAATCTCTCTTCTTTAAGCTTTGATTTTGATAGTCACAGCATATGGGGCCTATCCTGTTATTCACCGCAAGTTCCCTAAGATTTTATTGCAATTTGGTGGTTTTAGAAATTTGAAGCATGTGGTGTGATTGGCCTTTGAGAATTTTCGTGGGTTACACCATTGGTTTTGGTTGGATTCTTGAATCAAGACAAGAATAATAGGTTTCGACTTTTTCTATGTTTTGGATTCTTCTGGGACCTTCGTATGTGGTGGTAGTTTCAGCTACGTTAGAGTTCACCCGATTGAAAGATTGTTTGGTATTAATTGGATGATCACAACCGCCAAAATTCTTAATCATAGATTTCATTATTTGCTTACCACACAAATCACGGTAGCAAGTAATCAAGTGATGTCCTTATTAAAGTCAAACAGAGTGTACAGAATCTTCAAATACAGCGCGATACATTCAAATTGCTTATGGAATCATGGTTGGAATCCTATGGGTCGTCGGAGTCTGAAGTTTGGGGTTGAGCAATTTGAAGATTCTGTTACCTTTTTTTTTAAGAGCATTTCAATGTATCTCGCTGTATTTCTATGTATTTCATTGTATTCACTATCTTTTTTTCATTGTAATTCAATGTATCTCGTTGTATTCCATGTATTTCATTGTATTCAGTGTCTTTTCTACTCATTGTATTTCAATGTATCCCTCTATATTCTATCTATTTCATTGTATTTTGCGGTTGAAAATCTATTTTTTAACTGAAAAATACAAAAATTGTGTGTTATAATTGAGTTTCATGAGTTATATTAGGAGTCTATTATGTTAATTGATTCACTTTCCGTAATCCTCTATTTCACGCCGTGAATACAATAATCTGTCCAGCTGTAATCCCATGTTTCACTCCACGAAAACAGTCGAATAAACTCGAATACAACAACTGATTAGCTGGACTTCCCTGATTTACGCCTATTTTTGCTACTGTATTCATGAATACATTAGCTTAAATACATCAAATACATCTTATAACCACAGAAAATGTATCTATATTCCGTAATATAGCAAATGATATGTATAGATGGCTAATACTACTAAAAAATAATTATTTATGAAAATTTCTCATTTAAAAACTATTTTGGTTCCCATTCTCCATGGCGAGTCCCATGTATTTGGAGGCAAAAGAATACTCCATTTAAAAAAATATGTCAATATTGAAATGGCATATCATGTATGTGACGCTCTCCGCTACCCGGTATATTTTTAATCTCAAATAAAGAGCGTATGTTGAAAGAAGACACATTTGAGAACGCTTACAATCAAGATACCGATGAAGAGTCATCGCAAGAGAAGAAATTTAGAAAAAAGTCCAAGCTGGCCATGATTTTTTAATTTTTTTTTCTGAAACCAATGTTTAGGCATGAAATTGTCAATTTTCAAATTGAAAATGAATTTTGAAATTTTTCGAAAATTTGAAAAACTGCAAAAAGTTATTTTTCAAATTTTTCACTCAGATCACTCACAAAAATTCAAAAACGACCCAAAATTATATTTCATTTCCAAACACAACTCTAATTTTCAAATGCCATTTTTATTTGAATTTTTTTTAAACTTTTTTCCAGAATTTTATAACTCTTATGTCCAAACACCCACTAAGTAACTTCATCTCGAAAAGTGTGAGTGATCAATGGAATATTACTGACCAGTGAGCAGTGTATATCGCGTGTGAGCGAAATATTAGTCTATGTGTAGTAAGTATGGAAACTGATAGAGAATATTGAGTAATGTGCCCTTTGTTGGATAAGATTATGTTAGTGTCTGTGAGAATTATGTGCGAGTAATTATGAGTGCATGAGGGGGAGGGGGGGG